AATTTTTAAAAATAATCCCCCAAAATATGCATTTTATATTTAGATATGTTTTAATACTGGTTTATAACTGGATTTTGGGTGTTTTGATTGTTTTAGTTTAACGGCTAAATAAGGAATATAATGCGTTTGAGGCCCGGCATGGCCAGGTGGTTAGGGCATTCGAATCGCAATCTGAGGGTCGCGGGTTCGAATCCCCGTCCCACCAAACATGCTCGCCCTTTCAGCCGTGGGGGCGTTATAATGTGTCCGTCAATCCCACTATTCGTTGGTAAAAGAGTAGCCCAAGAGTTGGCGGTGGGTGGTGATGACTAGCTGCCTTCCCTCTAGTCTTACACAGCTAAATTAGAGACGGCTAGCGCAGATAGCCCTCGTGTAGCTTTGCGCGAAATTCAAAACAAACAAACAATAACGCGTTTGTTTTTAAATAGTATCATATTCACTTTTAAGAGCTGGTTATTTATATCTATTCCTGATAACTTTACAAACCGCCAGTCGAATATTCTATTAATTTCTATTCTGTCATTGATTTCCCTATCTGTATCTCTTATTCTGTTAAGAACTATCCAAGAACTATCTTAATGTCATACTTCCTTACATTCTTATCTCAAAGAGACGTTCTTAAGGTAAGTACAACCAATAAACCAGTTGGGCTAGTGTCACTAATAAAAGCAATCAGTTAGGGTTAACTGTAATTTAGCTGAACATTATGATAGTTTGTGCAAAACAGTTTTAAGCATTTACTAAACACTGATACAATTTAGGTGTATTATCATAAATCCATTATTTCATCAACCTTTGATATTTTAATGGTCGGAGTTATTTTTCTTACTTAATAATGCTATGTTTGTTTGTTTCTTTGTTATTAAGCACAAAGTTACACAATGGGCTATCTGTGCTCTGCCCACCACAGGTATCGAAACCCGGATTCTAGCGTTGTAAGTCCGCAGACATACCGCTATGCCACTGGAGGGCAATAATGTTATGAAAACAATGTGTTGACAATATAGATATCATAAACCCACTATTTTTGAAACCTTTGATAATTTAATGATCAAGGTTCTTTTTTTCTTATTTAATTATTATGGGTCTGGTGTTACACATACACAAATATGTTTACAATCGACTATAATTAATTCCAAAATATTGTAGAATAATTTTACATAACTTGTAAACACACTGAAAAAAAATGTTGAAGGCGTAGTTCTAATGCGTTACACATACACAAATATGTTTACAATCGACTATAATTAATTCCAAAATATTGTAGAATAATTTTACATAACTTGTAAACACACTGAAAAAAATGTTGAAGGCGTAGCTGTAATGCGCTTATTTTGTGTGCCATACTTAAAATTTATAAAACGTATGTACAAGGGCTAATATAACCTACCAGGATTTTACCATACTAATAAATGTAAAAAAGCCCAATTTACCTTTACAAGACTATATTATATTTTCTACGTTAGCATATACAGAAAACTAAACTTCATGTTGAAGTAATTTACCTGAATCGTCCTGTGTAAACCGTAACTCGATCTTATTGGGCTGTAACTAAAACTGACATCCAATCAAGTGTGAATGGCATATCATCCAAGAGAATTGGAACCACAATCTCTATGCTAAGATATCTACAGGACTTAATATTTCTTGCAGGACTACCTAAGAACGCCCATGCTAACATATACGACTCCTAATGCAGTTTTCCAGGACTGTACCTGAATATTCCTGCTAGAATATGCTTCATTTAATCTATCAGGACTGTGTGAAAATCTATTTGCTATCATGTGTAGAAGACTAAAGACTGACCTGGAATCGCCTTGGCAGCATATACACAAGACATAATTTAGTCTTGCAACCAAAGAAGAATTAATTATCACAACTTATAAGTGTTATCGCTTCTTAAAACAATTAAATACAAGACTCACCAAGAGCCTATTGGCCAGCAAATACAGCGTAAAAAGTGGGGTTGGATAGGACATACTCTAAGGAAGGCAACATCCAATATACTTAACAGTCTCTGACGTGAAACCCAGAAGGCGGACCTAAAAACAACTGGCGAAGAGACGCAGAGGCAGAATTAAAGAGAGCTGAGTACACCTGGAGAAAGATACGAAGGACAGCCCAGAGTGGAGTTAACTGGCGAAAAGTTATAGTTAATGTATAGTTGGAGGGACATTCAACAGCCAATATTGAGAAAGAACCTTCTAGTTAATGTATAGTTGGAGGAACATTCAATAGCCAATTTTGAGGAAGAAACTTCTAGTTAATGTATAGTTGGAGGAACATTCAATAGCCAATTTTGAGGAAGAACCTTCTAGTTAATGTATAGTTGGAGGAACATTCAATAGCCAATTTTGAGGAAGAATATTCCTATCACTATATTGCTAAAAATGTAGCATCAAATAAGACAATATTTGGAAGAAGGGAGCCTATAGTGTTACCCATAAAAGAAAAAAAACAGACACATTTGCACTTTATATACCAAAGAAACTGCGAAGCTTTATCAAAGTTCTCAAAGATAGTAAATGTGTCATCAACATACCTACGATACTAGAGAGGTTTAAACAGTTGGGAGCAATAAAAACATAAAACTAGGTCTACCAAAGTTGGTTTAAGATCTTAGCAACAGCCAATGATGAACAGAGCCTCCGAATAAAAGATAATTTGCTCATTCACGAGCTGAAGCTCGAGACTTATGTTACTGGAACAGTGAGTAAACTTCTTTTATTATCATAAAAATGTAGTCGTCTGTTGAGGACAGTGTTCTTACTTAGCAACGTTGCATATGATTTTAAAATTCCACGTGACTTGTTAAACGTCAATTTTATGACGTGCTGATGACGTCTTCACATCGTAGGGTACGTATATAAATTTCGATTCTTATTTATGTCTGTGATATTATAGTAGAAGTACGATTTACTCTGTTGTGAAATCCTTTTCATAAACACAGTTTTGACGTTAGGTAAATCCGAAAGTCAAATAATATCTCTACAATATCACGCAGCATATTATTGTATTTGCTTATTATCTTTGCTTGTAAAAAGTATATGGAATGGAAATATCTGATGAAAGTGGAATTTCAACTAAATCTTATTATTACGTTAGCCAATACTAAACAAATACTAAACCCTAGCGGTTATAATTATAGATCACGTGAAAACACAGAATTGTTACATGGGCTGTTTTCACCACTGTATTTCTACGCCAGTATAATGTAAGGCTAGAAGGGGCCGCATAATAAAAGCTTTGCATCTACTTAAACGTTAAATTAATAAAACAAACACTCAAACAGAAGTTTTGTTGAATGTGTTACCTTAACTTCCTTTTTTGTATAAAAATTATATATGAACTTATTCATATTTTAAATGAACGACTTTTCAGTTTCAGTCACGTTTACCAGAATAAACGTGCCCAGAATTTTACAGTTTCATTCATTAAAAACTTAATAATAATAAATACACGACCTCACAAATACAAAAAAAAAACATGTTTAGATACAAAAATACGTTATTTTGATGTTCAAAACTAAGATGTTTCAATATACGTGACACAAATATTATTCATCGCGCATGCGTGACCAAAAGCCGGGACTATTTCTTTAATCACGAAAATACACATTACGTTGTTTTTGTTTTAGAGCGAAGCTACAAAATGGACTATCTGCTCTCTCTCTCTCCACGCGCTGGAATCGAACCTCGGACTTTAGCTTTGTAATCCATAACCTTACTGCTGGCCTACCGAGGACAGCCATTACGTAAAACATAACATAAAACATTTTAAGCTTGAAATGTTTGAGTTATATTTATTTTCGCCAGTTTAACTTAGTAACTATTTAACTTAGTAACTACTTAACTTAGTAACTATTTCCTCAACATTTTAGAGTGGAGAAAGCTACTGAAGCTGAGATTTTTAATATCCAAACGAAAATAATACAAAAATGTAATGGTAAATAAACTTTTAAAGAAAATTTTGAATTTCTTTTTCTCTTCAAACTCTCCTTGATCTCAGTCATAAAATGAATTTAAATGCACATATATAATGTATGTGTGAAAGAAACGTTAACTTTCGCAACGGCATAAAAAAGTAAACTTTTATATGTTAAATATTTCATTTATATCTGAAAAATAAAAATGCAGCGTTTAGAATTTAAATAAATTAGTTGGTTATAGCAAAACATTGTTGGCAACTAATTAAAGGCCTTGGGGAAATTTTAATTACTGATATATATATATATATATATACTAATGTCTTTTTTAATCTAATAAAGTTTGATATTTGAACCTAATCTTAAAGACAAAATCTACAGTTAAATTAGATTCAAGCTCTGTATCGACAAAGCTGTTTAGACCAATAAACAACACTAAAATATATTTAATTAAAATAATGCAGTTTGGGATCCCCCAAGCACAGAAACAGGTTTTTATCTTTTGTAATAATATATATAATACTTTAGGCACAGAAATATGAGCGGGACTTTATCTTAGTCTGCAGTCGTACGATTTACGAATTACCCAGCAAATATGCCTAAACGAAGACTTGTTTTCCACTAGATGTTGCATAGATAATTTTAATGGAAAGTTGAGGTGTGACTGAAATTAAACTGGTTATTAACAAAAGTAAAAACGTTACTGCTTTATTCCTATATTTATTAATTTTTCAATTTACTATAAGAAAAATTATAACGTAGAATGAAGTAACAGAAAATCAAATCCTTAGATAAACTGCGTGTAATCATAACCATTTTCGGAAGTAGCATATGTGAAAACCGTCTTTTAATATATAAAGGGGTTGAATACCTTATATGAAACGGTTTTGAATATACAAATCAGCAATTCACGTGACAACCACAACCAGTATAAAGATGTTATGGAACGACATGTGTCAAAATTTTAATATTGTTTGGATGTTCGTAGGTACTGTGATGTCACCAAAAAATGGGGAGGGTATGTAACAGTCCTTTCCGACACCAAATATTATATTATTAAAATGATTTCATTTAGAATTTCCAAGAGGAGGATATGCCTTGTACTTAATGACATTGGAAAAAAAAAGCAGTGTGGATCATCTTGAGGCACCAGGACCATCCAGGAAGAGAACTTCAATCCGTTGTACCCCAACAATGATAAGCAAAGTGCAACGTCTTTTAACAGGTAAGAATACAACAGTGAGCAATATAAGCAGCAAGGATCTTTGTCTGGAAATGAGTTTTACTGACGAGATGTTGTTTTTATTTACAAAAACTAAAGTATTTAAGTACTTGAATACATTTTAAACATAAACATCTATGTTTACTACTTACTCATAAAAATTATCTCCCTTTGATATAGTTCTGCAATATAGTGAAATAAATTATAACGGCAAACATTTAATACATTCTTGAAGACAACGTCTAAATGTGATTCGAAAGTTCGATACGTTCTTAGTCATTAGAATGCACGGTTATTTCAATAAAAGACGGCTTTTATTTCTCTGGTGTACTCTTTTTCGAGCTAACTTAAATTAGTAACAACGCCATTGGGCGACTCATTCTATCAGTTGTCAGGAATTTCGGATCTGTAGAGTCAAATAAAAACGATATAGATCCCAGTTGTGCGTCTCGTGAATGCAAAGAAACCTGGCGTTGCCTTGATTCACGATCGTGCCTGACGTCATACTGTTAGGTTTCTAATAGTTTACTTTGAACAAGAAACCATTGTGATCAGGGATCAGCCAGCACAGCAGTTCCCCTGAGTGTTCTTCTTTCAACTACACCGTCCCCCGATGGGACAGCGGAAAGTCTTCGGAGTTACAATGCTAAAATCAGGGGTTTGATTCCCCTCGCTGGACACAACAAATAGCATGATCTGGCTTTGCTATAAGAAAACACGAACACACACATACACTCGTCTACACCTTAATTCACAATGCGACGACAGGGGAATAGCACCAGATCTCTTTTACATTATTTCCCCCCACCCCGACCCACTAGGCTAATCAGAAATTTTTGTCATGCAGAAACATGTAATGCTAGAGAGGTAGAGGGGTAAATTTTAGTTGACGAGAACGATTTTCGTTTTGCCAAATGTAATTCTTTCGGCCACGTCAGTTTTAACAAACTTATTTGACCACTCCAAATTTGAGTGCACTCGCGTACAAGGACTGTGACTAACAGTACTTGTCAATGAAACTGTTTTCATTGAATAATTGGCGCTTCATAGCCTAATTTTAACTATTTTGTATATTTTGGTTGAAGAATAATAATAAATATTACCTTTAATTTTTTCTAGAAAATATTATTGTTGATTGTATGTTTACAGTGATTTGGTTGCTTTCTCCACAGTGATAAACAGGTATGGTTTGTACAGTTAACAAATCAGTTCGTTAATTGTGACCTCTGTAAGTTGTTCTTCCATTCACTCTTAATCTCCTCCATTTTTCACAAGAACATGACTGGATCAAATATGATAATAGGGACTCTAAGGTTCTGATCTCTTGAGACACAGGGTTAGTCCTTACCGTAGTTATCAATTCATTACAGCATTTATGAAGAATATATTTTTTAGGAGTTAGTTAGAATGCTTCATCCAAAGTAATAAGATATAAAAACAAATGTTTCAAAAAATGAACAGATAACCATACTTACGTGCATCAAACAAATAGAAACATTATTGTGTGTTAAGCAGGAAAGAAATGTGTCACAAACTTACAGACACATGATTTCATAAGTTCATTATTTTATTAAAATGCTGGATTGTCTGTTCGCTGAAATAATTAACTGTAAAGAAGGGTGTTTTCTATAATTTTACTGTTGAATGTTTAGAGTAATTTCGGTGATCTTCTGTGAAGCTGAGCTTCGTAATCATTTCATACACCAATGGTTTTCTTTTGACAAATAACTAGAGTTTAATAAAAACAATATTATCTTATTGATGCAGTCTGCTTCTAATGGAGTGGGATCTTAATACATTCAGTTCTCTAGCAAACTTTACTAAATTAATTTTTTGTAGTAGTGTGTGTGTGCAACTAGGCGACGAGTATCATCGTAAGACTATCGCAAAAAACGAAGAACTGAGAATAGAGTCTTTGGAAAGCAGAGCATGAATCTCTTAAACTAACCAGTTCTGTAAATAAACGAGAAATTTCGATTTACCTGTCACAGCAAAACCGTTTGTTGGCACGTAGCCTAAATCGTTGACGCATGCGCTCGTTGAAACACTATATCGTTCCCTGATTGAGGTCGATATCAGTGTGTGTGTGAACGAAGGGAGCAAGTTGGCTTCGACGGAAATTAGAACAAGCACACCTGGAAATTTTACCAAACACACAAATCTTATTAAATGAGTTAACGTTTGAAACACACACATATATAATTATTTAAATTAATATTCAAGAACTGTTTAACTACGACTACAGTTGATAGCGGTTTTTGCTTAGCGTAATGAATGTATGAGACTTTTAATTCTGTTGTTTAACTTAGAGCATTAAAAAGTACAACAACAAAGAGTTCGTGAACATCGGTTTGAACATAAATACTAAACATACTTTCAGTAAAAATTATTTTTAATTAAACACAATCTAAACTTAACATTTACAGTTTTCTAGTATTAAGTCATTTACTTATTCTTTTTTCTTTCTTTCTTTAGTTTTGTTTAACCTGGTTAGTCTGATGATGTAGCCCCCCAGTGGCATAGCGGTACTGCTGCGGACTTACAACACCAGAAACCGGGTTTCGATATTCGTGGTGGGCAGAGCACAGATAGCCCATTGTTTAGCTTTGCGCCTAACTACAAACAAACAAAAAGAACTGGTGGTGTAACTAGTAAGAGATGCACTGACTTGCGATTAAAACAAATTCGTTTGTTTGTTTGTTTGAAGTTAAGCACAAAGCTACACAATGGGCTATCTGTGCTCTGCCCACCACGGGTATCGAAACCCGGTTTATAGCGTTTGTAAGTCCGCAGACATACCGTAATACTAAAAATATTGTAGTCTTGCAAAATAAAAGTATTACAATATCACACTTACTTGAACGTTAGCGTGTACAAGTACAGATATGTTACGAAACCACAATGTAGATCCACTTTAAACTGGTACATAATTCAGATATAATTAAACCTTTTCCTGTGGTACCATCTTAATTCCAAATGGCATGGTTATGGCAGCCATAGCTCTCTTGAGAACATTAATTTTAACAGCAAATTATCCGTTAACAAAAGCCGTCATTACCCCTCTGTATTGATTATATCACCCGTTTTACTTCAGCAAGTTATATTTTTACTGTAAAACCTATTCGTAAACATACTTATTTCATAATGTTTTGCGAAACACAGACTTAAGGTTATACACCTAAAAATTAATGTGCAAACATACTTATTTCATAATGTTTTGCGAAACACAGACTTAAGGTTATACACCTAAAAATTAATGTCGAAACCACAATGTAGATCCACTTTAAACTGGTACATAATTCAGATATAATTAAACCTTTTCAGGAGGAAAAAATACAAACCAGTGACACTGAAAAACTCTGATTTCTGTTTACAAGACATTTTTCGATATTTTATCCACTGCTACTAAGGCAAAATTGATCAGATAATCATAACGGGGGTGGGGAGGTGTTGAGAACTGGTTAAAATATGATCTCCTTATCATTTTTAAGTAAACGTGCTGATGTTTATAGAAGGAGGTACAAGTACAGATATGTTGGTTTTTTACATTTTAGTTTCTATTTCGTTAACTTACTGTTTTATTTTTTTTCATTTTGCCCATTTAGTTGCATTAGCTAATAATCGCCCCCCCCCTTTTGGCCCAGCGGTATGTCTGCGGACTTACAACGCTAGAATTTGGGTTTCGATACCCGTGGTGGGCAGAGCACAGATAGCCCATTGCTTTGTGCTTAATTACAAACAAACAAACAAACTAATAATAATATTAAAAACCTGGTAGAGGGACAAGGGTAAGTCTGCTGACTTATAACGCCAAAAACCGGCTTCGATACCTGCTGTGGGGACGGTAAAGATCACTCATTGTGTAATTTTGCGCTTAACTACAAACAAACAAACAAACCACTGTCATTATCGCAAAACTAATCAGCTGATCCTATTATGCAGTTGGTGTGTGCTACACTATATGCTAGAAACAGGACTGAGGGGGAATCCCTGCTTGGAAAGGCGAGGTACATTTACACTGATATATGAAATTGGGGAAAGCTATTTATTCATCCTAGTTAAGAAGCGTTAATCTACTTTTTTTTTCTGACAATACTCAATCTAAGTTGATCATTTATTTGAAGGATCTCGAACCACGTATTTGTCAAATTACAACCATGTATACTCTTTATTCATAATATAAATACCAGACTAATTACGAAGGCAGCTAGTCAACAACACCAATAGCCAACTGTTGGTACTTTTTAACATCAAATAGCGGGCTTAACTGCCACATTACAACGTCCACATGAGCATGTTCGATGACGAGATTCAAGAGCCCTAATCACCAGGCCATGCCAAGCATTTTTTATTAAATGATAAGCTAAGTCATCTATCATACTTTCATATAATGCCTTCCATATTTTACGTTAATTATATTTCCGTTGACGTTGAATAATTATATAAAAGGGCTTGATTTTTAATCTGGTTTCCTTATACTTGGATGATAAGTAATTTGTTTTTGATATGAGCATCACGTAGTTATTCGAGATACCTAACTACATACATATAGCGAAAAGAACAGAGAAAAAGAAACGAAATTGTAAACTTAATCACCTACTATACTTTCATATGGGACACGCTGTATATTATACTAATCACCTCTCAATTCCCGTTGAATACTAAAACGCATAAATTGGAATCTAATTATTTTATGTTTGAAAGAATTGTAATTTCTTTTTCACGTTAATATTGATAAGGTATTAGAATCACTACATGTTTTTGAAAACTCATTGTTTCTATATCAGCCTAAATAGATTAATTGAACATACGGCAAAGGTCACATTAAAAACATCTTCTGAACGGAAGAAATCTTTTTGAAGTATATTTATGCTCGAATTTCATTTTATTTTTC